TCACAAGAGCAATTGTGTCATTATTTTTTACTGTGGTCCTAGAAATGTTATTCACGATTAAGACAATTGTTCAACTATGAACTTAGAATTTTTTAAAATCGGTCGACTTTCAGAGGCTCTTCTTTGCAAAGAAATTTAGTAAAGGGTGTTAGAAAGATAAAAACATAATAGGAAAAAAAACGAATAAAAATAAAAACTAAAAAATAGTCCCATAACTGCTAACGCACTCAAAGGTTTTTGTTTCGCTTAAGCTCTTGATATATTCCTAATTTTTTTACTGTAAAATTGCGATAGATGGATAGTGGATATGTTTTTCATGGCTAGCGTGAACGTGAAATTTTGTTTTTCTAATTTTTTTCATATTGTGTATTACTACACACTCTGTATAAATAATAAAGTATATTTATAAAATATGAGTAATAAAAGTTTAAAAATTCACATCTTAACCTATTTGTATGAATATTTATAAACAAAGAGTTCAATGCATTTATTTTTTATAGAAGAGTTCATTTCTTTTTTATCGTTGAATATATTTTGCTCATCAAAGAGTTCATTTCTTTCTTATCGAAGAGCATATTTTTACTCATCGAAGAGTTCATTTATTTCTTATCGAAGAGCACAATTTTACTTATCCAAGAGTTTATTCCTTTCTTATAGAAGAGCTTATTTTTACTTTAAAGAGCTTTTCATTTCAACATAATTTTTCTAAATATTTTTTCCAGTTGCATTAAATCTGTCTATCTTGACGTGATTCACAGAATAACCCCGCAAAGTTATCACTGAATAATTGGTATTTCAGACGATCATATGGTTTTCACGAAGCGACATATGAAAACGTGTGCGCATATATACCCGATGCGTCCAGCCGACTTGTTCAGTTCGGTTCGTGCCTGTCGCGTCCGCCTGCGACGACGCGGCAACCGGCATCGGTCTGTCGAAGTCGGGAACGTTCGAGAGTACACGCAGCCCGTCTACCACGGGGTAGGGTGAATTCGACTGATCTTGATACGCGATCATTGCTCTTCATCAGTTTGCTTCGAAACGTCTACTTGAGAGGACGAAACTTTCTCCTCATATAAAAAGAAAATGACAAATAGTTTTGGACAATTTTGGATAATTTAAATTTTTATTGAAATTAATTTAAATAAAATTTATTGTTTGTTTATAGTGGCAGTTGCTGAAAAATGTGATAGTGTGATTTATGGCTGGCTCTGGTGGATTATGTGCGTAGTAATGTTTTAGTGGATATTTTTTTAAATTGATTTTCTAGTTTCAAACAGCTGTTGGGATTATTCTATGCTGATTTAAGAAATACTTATGTGTTTTTTGTTTAAAAATATAATTATAAAACAAATTTTCAGATATTTGAAATATTGCTGTAAGTACATTTGAAAAGAGAGATCATCATTTAGTCATTGATATCAATTCAAAATTTTATATCATTAACTTATAAAAAAGCTTCACGATATAACCCGCATATATTTATTGAATTCTCATTAAATCGCTTTATTTGATAAATTATTGAAACTGGTGCCTTGGATACATTAATCACCATTGTGACTAAATTATTGATAAATTCTCTATAATTCATAATTTAATATGACTCACATCATGATATCGGCATTTCCTTTATTGTATAAAATTTTACATCATATATTGAAATTACTTATTTGAATTATTGGTAATTTGCGGCTCACGTTATGTATATTTGCTATTGACAAATAATTTATTCACAATTTCAGTCAAAATTGTATGAAATCATCGGATCCATTAAAAATACTTTTTATGCTACGGATCACACGAGATTACATCGAAGGTTTTTTGTGCAAAAAATACCGGCTAATCAAACTGTTTTCTATTATCTTTTTGTGTAATATCTCTATTCGTCCTTGTCCCCATTCTGCAAATTTGAACGCGTCTATGTGTCAGTACAAATTTTGCACAGTGTCTGTATGTACATTATACAGGGCTGTCTATTGATATATTGCGAATATTTATAAACAGTTCTATAAACGTACAATTGTTCATTTTATATCGTTAAAAGCTGTTAATTTTAAATGATGTATAAATTAATAAGGAGAGTAGGACAAAGAAAGCTGTGCTCGTATAAAGAGTGCACCATATCGCACTTTGAAATATTCAGGACGACGTAGAGTGGAACAAGGTTGAAGCATTAATAATTATTCTATAAGGCAACTCATTCTCTATATTGCTAATCATTCTAATATATATCGTCTTCTTAGATACATCTATTCCCTGAAACAATAACAAATATTTAAGAAATTTTGAATTTGCATTTCGTCACTGGATTTCATGATACATAATTTTTTACTTATAATCGCATACTTTGTCCCTCGTTAGCATTCACTGACGTGTCTTGAATGATTTTCGCATTGGGTATTGCACTTTAGCGGCGGCGCCTGCATCCGATGCTCGCGGCTGTAGTATAAGGTATTGTTTCTCAAATATTTTTATTATTATAACTGAATTTATAATATTAAAATGAAAATTGGAAAATAGTGAGTACACAGGATATAAGGAATGAAACGTGAAGGTGAAAGGATGTATATTAGTTATTAGTTTCTGGAGATTGATTGAGTTATACTTCCATAAACGATTTAACTTTAACAGTTTTAAGACTGTGATTACTGCTAATACTAAAACTGCTAATATGTAAAACATTTGAAATTTATCAAGGTATTTCTTGGAATTTTAAAGATTTTTATAAGCAGTGCTCAGTATGTTCCAGATTAAATTATTTTAAATCAGCTGCTTTCAGAAGCGTCAAATTGAATTAGAGAATTATAATTCGATGATTTATTGCAATATCGCTTTCTGCCTTATCATAGCTCGTTTTGTTTCCCGCTGTGTTTGTGTTGTTTCGTAGCAATAGCATTCGGGAGGTGCATGTGTGGTGGATGACCGACGTTTCGCGCATTTTAAATGTTTCCACAAGGTCAGCAGACGGTCGACGATCGTCTTGTGGCGATCTTTTGCGAATTAATGACTGGCCTTGTGCGCCAGTCGAAACGGATGCTCAATACAAAATTTTAATTCGGCACACCGCCACGACAGACCCAGAACCTGGTAACATTGTTGATGGACCAGTGAAACTGTCGAAACCAAAAGTTCAACTGTTCGTGGATATTGTTTATTTATAAAAATATGTTTATGTAAATGTGTCTATGTATAATAAAATGATATTCAAATATGTATTTATACTATCTATGAAATATTTGAGATACCATTTCAGATATGGGCAAACTGCATCTGTTTACTTAAAGGTGAGAATTCCTTCATGAAATTGTTTTATATTCATTTCTTACACAAATATGTGAATAACAAAATATGTCTTAAGGTATGAATTGCAGCTGTTCACCGAGATGAACAAAGACAAGATTATGATATGCGGCAGCTGAAGTTTAAACATTTGCGACATTGCGCGCTATACAGGCGCCAAGGCTTTACTTTTCTTAGTCAGGTACCTGAAGTAGCGCGCGATGTTGCAGAAACGAGCTGCAGGTAAAAAGAAATTGGTCCAAGCAGGTAAACAAAGAAAGATAGGTTGAATGAATCGGTGTTCCATGTATATTGTACTTCATCAGGTGCTCTGGTAGTTTAAATTCCCGGCATCTGTTGGAGTGCACATAATGTGCTGACACCCGTCGACGTTCGAGTTGAAGCTGGTTTAGTTGAAGATATTGACGCTAGATAGAGTCACAAGTCAGGTTTGTGCTACGGAAGGTTGTCGCTGGATGGTGCTACGTTTTCTCGGCGTAGACGACCAATAGCGTCACGAAGGTTCTCCCGACCAGGGCTTCTTAAACTTTTTTATATAGCGACCCCCTTCAAGCTTAGGAAATTTTAAACGACCCTACTCCATATAATAGAATATATATTATCCGTAGATGTAGATGTAATATCGCACTATTTTACGATGTGATTAAAATAAGGATTGAAGAATATGTACCTATTCATGTCACATATATATATATATATATATATATATATATATATATAATTGGAAACGATGACATAAAACTATATTATATATATATATATATATATATATATATATATATATATATTCAACAAACAAAATAAACTTTTGGAACAATTTCTTTATAAGAAAACATAGAACTATATCTATATAATCAATAGAAAAAATAAACTTTTGTAACATTGTTTTTAATGAAAACATATTATTAACATGAAACAATATATTAAAGTGACGGATGTGATTGTTTCTTTTTACACAAATAATTAAATCTAGGCAGATAGAGTTAGTGCAGATCGTAATAAATTTTCAACGTTTATTAAAGTTGAACGGTATTTTGATTTTATGAAAGTTAATGTGGAAAAGGCTGATTCACATAAATATGTTGCACAAAATGGTAGTAATTTGTGTATTGCCATTTCCGATAGTAGGGGATATTCTGATTTGATTTCTATTTAAAATTCATGCACAGGCACTCGAAAAAATCTGAGCGCAAGGTAGTACCACTTGTTAATTCGGCAAATTTCTTCCATTTTAATTGAAAATGGATTGCAAATCCATTGTTATGTATCGATATCATTGGGAAATGATTAACTATAATTTTTGTTATAGGAGTATCTTTTTTTGAAATATTGTTATTATTTATATACTCGTTAGTAAATGGAAACATTTCGAGCGATCCACCTTCCACTCTGTTTTTCCAAATAAGAATTATTTTAACAAAGGCCTCAAGTTTGTTTCTTAACATAAACATATTAACGCAGACTCCCTGCATTGATAAATTTATATCATTGAATTTATAAAAAAATATCGGCCAAATAGCATAGCTTGAGAAGCCATAAATTATCGTAAAAATAATCGGCCTAATAATACTAATTTTAAAATTTTGTTTACAATGATTGAAAAGTATCAGATCTTGGCGACTCTTTCTCAGGAGTCCCGCAACCTCCCTGGGGGTCGCGACCCACACTTTAAGAAGCCCTCCCCCCGACGATCCGTTCCCGTGTTTGTATGTGTGCGACGCCTGCATTACCTATCCGTAGCCATGTTTGCAGTCGCAGACCAGCTGATGATGTCTTTCAACTTTAGTCACTATGTTATTGCTTACCGCATAAGATCAGTGGGAAAATTAATGTAGCCAGTGTGTTAATTATATTTTTAAAATGACGGGGGATTCAATTTCATACATTGTGTTGTTTTTATTGGTTTTCTTTTTAACTACAAGGTTAGTACAATTTAAGTTTATCCGCATAAGATCGATATTTTTAGAAGGTCGTCTACTTACGTACATACTGTGTTGTTAGTGATATTTTTTTAACATCGCATTGACATATGTGCGCGAGCCTAATGAATTAAACAAGTTGAATGCCCAATTTAATGAAATTGAATAATATGTGCTTCTAGAATCTTATGCAATCAATTCTTTAATTTTATTCTTTTTGTTTAAATGATGTATTTTAATGTCTCACTGTTTTGACAATTTCAATTTATTAATAATAAAAATATTTATTTATTTATTTAACGCCCATCACAACAACACAATTGAATATAGTATAGAATAATTTTTTTTTTACAAATCATAGATCACATTTAACACTTACATATCTTTGAAATTAAGTTGAATTTTAAGTGTATATGTCTATACTAAATCTTACAATTTAGTTTATTTTATCTTCATGGCTTTCTTTAACTATAGAATTTTTTATATCACTTGTTTCTTACATATTAGTATACTTGCCTTAAAAAATATATTACTATTTTATTTGTTTTGTAATTAAAATAGCGGAATATTTAAATATAATTACCAGAAATGCGCAAAATGAACAATAAAATCATTATCTATAATTTCTTTAAACAGAAAAAATACAGATAACATGTGCATATATTTATATGAAGCTAATAAAGATATAGATAATATTAAAAATAATTTTATTTATTTGAAATGTAATCGTTTTGTGCTTATTTGATACTCCATAATTTAAAACATTTTTCGTATGTATTGTATAGATAATATTCGAAGGTAAACAATATTCGAAGTATTTTGGAATTTATTGTAAAATTTAACCAGTATCAACTTTTTGATCAAATTTAGTTAAATGAAAATCTTTATGGAATTGTTTTCTGGATTCCCTAATCCTTGGATATTGTATTGAGTTTAAATCTATAACTAGGATATATTGATTATAGAAATTATTTTTACGGAATGTCATATACACAAATCATTTTTGATAGTACAATCAACGTAATTAACTTGTCGGCGTCTGGAAGTTGATAATCAAATTTATTTCTCAATTTATACTTCTCATATATATTCAATCCAATTTTGTTTTAAGTATTTTATTTAACAGATTAAGCTCAATTTTCACCTCTGTAATATAAGTAACTTACATATCATCTTCATAGCAACGAGTGTCTATTTCTGTCATGGTTTTTATTCTCTATATGTATTTAATTTAAGAATTTTGCGTAAAAAACTATAAGGTTATTATTACCCACAAAAAGTGGGTTTAGCTCATCAAAACGAAAGTATAACATCAATTTCAGACTCTGCTATTCGATATAACAGTGTCAAATACACATTTGAAAGTTATGTTCTGTATTTTTGTCACGTTATCTAATACGTTGCTTTCTCAGCACTTTCGATATCATGCATGTGAAATAAACAAATAAACCTACATTTCTCAGTGCATTTTATTTGTTGTAGCATTTGCATTTTTGATTAAATGTTCATAATTTAATAATTTCAATTATAAGTCCTAATTATATTCATTAGTACAAATATTATGAGCCAGTGGGTTATCTTGTTTTCGTACATGACTCGTGATAATGATTGTGTAAACAGTATCGCGCAAGTGTCGGCGATTCGGCGTATGCCAGATTAGTTGTAATTTAAATTTAAATATGTACAATGACGGTTTTTATGAAGAAAGCGATATCATAACATTTACATATTCAATAAGGATATTTCTCACAAGTTTCTAAATAAAAAATATAATAAAACACCCCGTTAAGGTATAGTCATATGTGAGAGAGCGTATTATGCGAGATATAACATGTTTAGAAGTGCAAGTATGTAATCGTATTAAGCATAGTAGGCCTTAGGAATGAGTTCTCTGACAGTTCTAGTACTTTACATATTTTCGAAACTTTTGGGAAAATAAAGATGGTCTAAAAACTTTTCCTAATTTGATGTCATGCATTTACCATAAATCTAGAAGATAACTATTCAAAAGAAAAATGTATACCACATTGTCTCAAAAATAAAACTGTACATTAGTCCAAAATATAATTTTTGTGCTATTCAAAAATTTAATCTGAAGTCGTCAACATAAATACTTCATTTATTTTATATAATCTAAAGTTTTTTTAGTTATTGTACATGAAGCTAAGGTTCTCTATAATTTGTTGGTTTTCTTTTAAATTTGTGGTGAATGTGGTATAAGTTGTCGTCTATAGATACTAATAAATTCTGAATAACAAAAGCGGAAATATTTATATGCACATATTTATATTATTAAAATTTTATAATAAGAATTACGCTATGCATAATTTTCTGGTATGAAAAGACCAGATGCTAAATTTGTTCCAAAGTCATTGGGACATAGGAATCTGTTTAGAATATTAATGAAAAAATTGCAATTTAAATGGAAGTAGGAACGTTTGCCAAAAATTCTCTCATAGATATGGATAAACAGAATTACAACATTGTCTAACAAATATGTGCCCAAATATTTTAAGAGGTAATATTCCTCTGTTTTATTTTGGATCTTTGTTGTCTTCACAAGTTGCATAAAATATAGATGCAAATGAATACGGATGTTTATTATTAATATGTCGTACCATGTTTCCGACACAGATGCATTTGAAAATATAATTGTTCTCTATATAATGCAATGTTTTATGTTTGATATTCATCACAATGGCATTATTACGCAGCAATAATAGCGAACAAGTGCGAATTCAACTGCATTTATGTTTTAATACTGAACAATACGATTTCTTTGTTTTAATTTGCTTAAAAACCCGAATCATATTTGTTAAATTCATTTGAACGATTAAATATAAATAAAACGCCGGCATTCATCATGTAATTATATTTTTCAACACTCCTTAATTATTTACTTAAGTCAATGACCTAATGTACAAATTGAGTTGATGACAGTTGATGGCAATGGGTATTTTAAAAGTTGCTAAATATTAATTCTTTTTGATTAAAGTCTATTATTTTTAAAAATTGGGTTGATATTTTTCTGTTTTGGAAATATTTTTATGTAATACGATACACATCAACTTAGTACTATTTAAATATTTCATTTGCATATAATGAAACGATTATATTTGAACCTAATTGTTTGTTTGCGTCAGTCGCAATTTAAATTTTAAATAGGTCCAGCTTTATTGAAATACCGATACTAATATATTAAAATTTATGTTTCTCTTTGACTACTACCATTTAACTAAAATTATAATTGAATATAACTATCACCAAGTATACTATAAAACGTGTTCATATCAGCAATTGTGGTACAGTACTGAGTAATAAGGGAACGAAACTGTAATATGTTATTATAAGGAAAAACATAAAAAGTTAGAGCACTTATTTTTAGTGATAACTAGCACGCAACCAAACATGTAGAATACATTATTTTGCCCCGTATTGACGTCGTGTTATGTTTTATATAAGGCCTGTCGTAATTTTTGCTTATTTTATTCCAAGTAAAAAATATGAAACATAAACGTGTAATGTATCTGGTTTATCGTGTTTAAGTTCTTTGTCCGTCGAACTTTATTGTTAATGGAGAGAATTCATAGAATTCATTCAGTAAGATTCTGCTGTAGTATTATATTTCCTTAAAACTAAGTAATATTATGTGAGTTCGTAGTACTATTATATTCATTCTATTTCTCTTGAATATAGTTGTTATATACACTACTATATATAGTATATACTATTATATACACTCGTAGTACTATTATATATATTACATTCATTCATTTACTAGTATTTACTATTATTCGATTTTACTAGTATTTATTATTATTTACTACACTCGAAGTACGATTACTTATATACTTTCATTCTACTAATATATACATTGGTAGTACGATTATGTATCGTTCGTAGTACTATCATATTCAATGATTTTATTATTATATATAGTTGTAGTACATTTATATACCTGCAATCGTAGTACGATTATATACATTCATTTTACTATTATATACAATGATAGTACGATTATGTACATTCGTAGTACGATTATGTACTAAAATTTGTGTATGTGCGTAGTATTATCACATTCAATGATTTTACTATTATATATAGTTTTAGTACAGTTATATAACTACAATTGTGGTACGATTATATACATTCATTTTACTATTATATACACTGGTACGATTATGTACATTCGTAGTACGATTATGTACTAAAATTTCTAGTACGTTTATGTTTGTCCGTAGCACTATTATATTCAATGATTTTACTATTATATATAGTTGTAGTACAATTATATACCTGCAATCGTAGTACGATTATATACATTCATTTTACTATTATATACACTGGTGCGATTATGTATATTCGTAGTACGATTATGTACTAAAATTTCTAGTACGTTTATGTTTGTCCGTAGCACTATTATATTCAATGACTTTACTAGTATATATAGTTGTAGTACAATTATATACCTGCAATCGTAGTACGATTATATACATTCATTTTACTATTATATACAATGGTAGTACGATTATGCACATTCGTAGTAAGATTATGTACTAAATTTTGTAGTACTATCATATTCAATGATTTTACTATTATATATAGTTGTAGTACAATCAGTGGTGTTGTCGAGCCGGAACGCGCCGGAACATCGTTCCGGCAAATAATTTTTGGGCCGGAACGCGTTCCGGCAAAAATTTTTTTTTTAAAAAACGCTAATTTTTCAATTAATTTTTATTAAATGTTCCTATTATTGTAATAAACATACATAAATATGCACAAAATGGGTTTTGTAATGATTTTTGTTACTTTCCTTTTCGAACGGAACCGGTACAAACACGAGAACCGGTTTATGAACCGGTTTTTAAATTTTAGCGTTCCGGCAAAAAAAATATTTGCACAACACCACTGAGTACAATTATATACCTACAATCGTAGTACGATTATATACATTCATTTTACTATTATATACATTGGTAGTACGTTTATGTACATTCGTAGTACGATTATATACTTAAATTTGTAGTACGATTATGTATGTCCGTAGTACTGTCATCATATACCATTGTTTTACTTTATTATATATAGTTGTACAATTATATACCTACAATTGTAGTACGATTATATACATTCATTTTACTATTATATACAATGGTAGTACGATTATATACTTAAATTTGTAGTACGATTATGTATGTCTGTAGTACTATCATATTCAATGATTTTACTATTATATATAGTTGTAGTAGAATTATATATCAACAAACGTAGTACGATTATATACCTACTTTTGTAGTACGATTATGTAAGTCCGTAGAACTATTATATTTATTCATGCTACTATTATATATAGCTGCAGTACGATTACGTATGTCCAAGGTACTATTATATTCTTTCATTTTACTATTATATTCATTCATAATACATCTTATTTTCATTCATTATTATATTACATACCATAGTGGTACTATTTCATGGTAATCTTATTAATTGTACTAAATTATATAATATTATTAATTGTGAATCATGTAAAACTGAGTAAGAAATTTAAAGACGACTACAAGAAATTAATTATTGTTACTAATTCTTTCCCCTAGTTCTAGTCAAGATCCATCTTCTTCTTCACCGCAACATGAGGTTTCCAAACACGGCAAAGATTGGGACGTCTTGATCTTCACCCAGCATTGGCCAGCCACTGTGTGTTACCAATGGCGCGAACGAGAGACCAGCCACAGGTGTTCCATGCCATCCAACGACATCTGGACGGTGCATGGAATTTGGCCTACCAAATTGGGCACTATTGGACCAGCTTTCTGTAACGATACTTGGGCATTCGACCAATCGCAACTTGAACCCATTCAAGATCAACTGGATCGCTACTGGATAAATATCGAAAAAGGTAAGAAGATAGTAAAATAGTAAAATTTAAAGTTATTGACCAAAAGAAAATTAATGGGTTGGTTAATCAATTACATATTACTATTAAGATGATATCTAAGATGTTTTTGATTATATGGAGTATTTACAACGTGCAATTAAATCCTGAAGCTGCAAAATAAATATTTTTATTTCCTAAATGAATATGACAAATATTCTCCGCAAATAATTTCTGTGCCAAGTTCGACATTGACACGTGTTCAAACGCGGCGGTCTTAAAAACAACTGTTATATATTAATTTCGGCAATCAATTTTCGTACTAGATGTTACTAAGTGATTAAATATTTATATTTTTATACTTTTTGTATCTATATTTGATATCTTTATTAGAATTTTTTTCTCGATACGCTACGCTTTTATTCTTGATGATAATAATTCTTAGGAAAGTGTACATGGCATTGTATCAGATAGCATTCATTATTCACCACTTAATATCAATTCCCTATGACTCATGATTTAATCTTTGCATTATAATAAATGCATCTGAATGTAGTTCATGAGACATATTAATATATTTGTTACAGTATTTCGAATCTAAAATTAGTCCTTAAGAAACTAGGCATTAATATATCAGAAATTAATTAATCTATTTTTTAAAACTGCCACAGTAAAATATTTTACCAACCATGAAGACAATTAATTATTTTATTACCTTGAAGACTATATGTTAGCATTAATATTTTCCATATCATACAAATTGTTTAATAAATTATTATTTTTTAGATACTCCGCACAATTCCTTGTGGAAACACGAATGGATGAAACATGGTACATGTGCAGCTGTATTACCACAATTGAATTCGGAGAACAAATACTTTTCCCAAGGTCTGGAATGGCTGCAAGAATATTCAATGTCGAAGGTCCTCCAACGCGTAGACATACAACCAAATAACACATTTGATCCTGTTGAAATTTACTCTGGAGTAAAGAAAGTCCTAAATAAAAATCCTGCAATGGAATGCATGCATGATGTAAAAACAGGACTATCTTATATATTTGAAATAAGAATTTGTTTCGATAAGAACTTAAGGCTTACTGACTGTGATGGCATTAAGAGTCGTCTAAGACACTTAGGCGATGGTAAGATATTAACTAATTGTGATTTACACAAGCAGGTCATATATCCTGAGGTTATAGAAATGCCGAAAAAAGCGGTTTTACAAAAACAAGAAAATATATCATACAAATGGTCTATCTTTGATTTATATAAAATTATTTATTTTGTCCAATGGTTCACATTTTAGATGAATTATTGATCTTTCCAGTGCTAGTTTCTGTGATTTTCATATTAGGTGTAGATCGACCAATCAGTAACAGATTAAGTAGGAAATATCTAATGCTGTATTAAATTAATAGTACTTCAGCATTAAGAAATTGAAAACGATACGTATAGTGATTTATTTGTTTATTGCAGTTATATTTAGATTTAAATTTGATCGATTTTTCATAATATCTGAATAGATCCTAGAATTATTCTAAATAGTACATGCATAGTAATAAACTTTAACTATTTCAATCAAATAATAATCCTATTATTATATGATATCAAAATGTTGCTATACAAACGTTGATATATAAAATATCAATTTTGTATACAAAGTATGGTGAGTCGAGAATGGAATTGTCGAAAGAAATATTAGATGCTAAATTTTTGTATTTAGACAAATGTTATATACACATGTTGAGAAATGTGTTTTAACATTTTATGATGAACCATTTTGCAAATGATAGACTGATTTGTGAAATTTTGTAAAATAAAAATTTAGATTTATAAATTTATTTTATGTAAATATATATTTACATGCAAATTATGGTTGTTGTTTAATATGGAAAGATATATATATATATATATATATATATATATATATATATATATTCATTATTTATTATTCATTTCCTCAAGATCAATAGATCTATGGACTCGCATAAACGTGAACATAGTTTATAATAAACTGCTCTTGGTTGAAAATATTTGAATACATATCCATACATACATACATACATATATATATATATATATATATATATATATATATAATAACATTGTATGTAATGTGTTAAAAACAATGTCAGGCTTGTGCTGGTTAAAATATTTTATAAGTTCTTATAGAAGACCTCTAGAACAGTTCAATATACTCGTAAATATAAAATTTGAGACTGGTTGTCTCTAGTATAACAAAATATATAACCAAACGCATCAAATTGGTAAGGAATGTCTTTATATAATACATTTATGTACACATTTCAGTTGATTAATTCAGTTAATTGAAAAAATGTGGAGTTGTCGGTTAAACAGTTTTAATTCCAAAAGGCAATAATAGACTTACAAATGTTTGCCTCCAATTCATCTCCATCAATATGAAACCGAATATATTAAACATAAATTATCAATTCGAGTTAGTCGCAGCATCAAAAAATTTAAATTTGGTGCGAAATCAAGTGGCGCCGCCATCAATGACAGCAATCATCCGATGACAGCAAATAATTGTGTCGTTGGTAGCTGTGAATAATAAACCTGTAGTTATTTTGTTAAAGAAAAGGTTAAAAGATGTTTATAACAAAAACGCAGAAAATGTACACTAAATTACATCTAATTGAATGTATTATAGTATTTTAACACATCGAATTAGTTTTAAATATTGGGCAACAAAATATTCAGCAGAAAAATATTCTGTAATATATATATATGAAACTATGTACTATTTTATGAAAATATTTATTGTAGTTACTGTACTCAATAATGTTCAGTGCTCTGATAATAATGAGTCGAATGATATGAAAAATATCTTTGATTCGAAGAGTTCTACAGAATTATGTATCCTTTTTGAAACAAATACCCTATCTAATTTTATGGGATATAAAAGTTCCTTATAAATATGGCTAGATAAAAGATTATTCAAATTGAGGCGAGTAGATCATAAAAATGCAGTGGATAACATTAGAAAAATGGATAATTATGAAAAGCAATATAATATGGTGAAAATAGTCACAAACCAATTATTTACGGTAATTATGATCAATTCATTAAATTGCTCTAATAATGCTGCTTGAGGATAAAATTATTATGGTAATAATGACAATTATTACACACCAGTTTATATATATTATTTACAGACACTTAGAAATAGCAGAGCAACTCTGGAATCATCTGGATATATTCCTGGTATGACAGAGTTTCCAACAAACAAAACTACTTTAGAAGCTCTATCGAGCATGTTAGAAAATACAGCATTATTTGGTGATGTTATGCTTCATCTTCCGGACATAACACAACATTTGCTGTTTTTCAATAACCATTGGAAGGTTTTGTACGAATGGTGTTTAGGATTTGCTAATGAGTCAAAAGACTTGTTAGATAATAGTACTATTAAACTTTTTTCATTGGTTATTCAAGAAATGTATCCAGATAAAAGGAATGAGAATTATATTAATCCATATTGGAAGAGTGAAACTAAGAGAAAATATAATATTGAGAGTTCTAAGCAAAAACCTAAAGCTAAGAAGAAAATCAAAAAGGTCCTAGACTTTATAATGAATTATGAGATCTGAACTGTAAATAGGATTTTTATAAATTTATATAAATTTTGTACAACTACAATGATTTCACAATACAAATACAAAAAACACTGTATGTGATATACTTACATTTTATATTCAGGAACTGGAACAGTAGTAAATTAAGAATTCAATACAAAAATAGCTGCTTGATTCATACTCTAAAATCATGAAAATTCCATTTTCAAGAGAGTGTATAAGTCTTGTATTTACTCCTTTATAGTAAATAGAATACTATATTAATATAATAAATTTAAATATATGTTACTAAATTAAAAACTGTTTAATGCAGATGAAAATGATTCTTAAGTTTACAGACTACTATGTCTTATTCATATATTGGCGCCATTGTGTGCAACTATGAATGAGCTTTTTTGATGATTCTTTTTCTAAGCAGAGATATACATTATTTTTAATAAATTACTTTCATGGGTATACAAAACCGACGTAATTTGTGCAATTATAAATATGCGTTAATAAATTTTGAAAAGTCAAGGATAAAATATCGATTTATGAAGGTTATGTGTGGAATCGATATATAAGAAATGTTTTATCGATTATATTATGTATAAATGTTTATAATATTATTACTCACACCATTTTATATAAATCGTTTTTAAGAAGGTTTTTGCAAGTAATTAAAATTGAATCAAAGAATTTTATTAGAAATGAAAAAACATATTTCTCTCAAAGAGTTTCTATTTGTTGTGTTGGCATTTTGCTTCGCGGGCAACTTCCATTCTAGTCATCTCTATTTTAGATGTCAGTTCTCGAATAAGTTGTATTCGTTTGTGTTTTTATAACTAATTGATTCGTTCAGAAAATAAACACTTATCGCCGATTGCTTCTTCACAATTAATAAAAATGTCTAGTACTTCGCAAAAACATAGAAATTTTGTAGCCGAGCCTATGGGCAGCAAACCTGTGACAGATTTGGCAGGAGTCGGTGAAGTTCTAGGAAAAAGGCTTGTGGAAGCCGGCTTTGATAAAGTTAGTGCAATATTTAAGATCACATTCATTGTATTATATTGATTGTTATTTGTAATAATCGTTTTTATTTGCTATTCAAGGCGTACGTAGTATTAGGACAGTATCTAGTCTTAAAGAAGGATCAAGAATTATTCAGAGAATGGTTGAAGATACTTGCGGTGCAAATTCCAAACAAGCCGGAGATTGTTACCAATGTTTAAACGATTGGTGTGACGAGTTTTTATAAACATTTTAATAATAATATTTTAGATCATTATATTATGAAGTATAAGCTGTATGATATTCTGCTAGATTTTATATTGTAATTTATGAATTTTATGTAAGTTTATAATTGAAATACAAATTATTTTTAATACCTAATCGTCAAATGTAGTTTTATTTATTTGATTTGTGTTTGGTTCGAAAATAGGAGCCCATTTATAAATAAGCGATTACTCGTTACGTTCAAAAGCCGTCCGAAGCGTTTAGTAGGGGGTGCAAGGGAGACAACATAATAAATCAGTACGAGACAACGCTCTAGGCATTGAGAGAAGAAACCTTTGTTCGTTTCAGTGGTATGACTGCATGCTCAGCTAGTGAAAAAATTAGTTTATGATGTGTTCTGTTCATTTATAAATTATTGATTTATATTTTAATTTGTATTAGCATTGCACGAGTGTACGTGTTGTAAGTGAATAGTGTTTAATAAGCGTGTTTTGGTTATAAGCCAATATCACGCACAACATATTCAGTAAAGGATTGTAATGGTGGCCATGTCATGAGAATTCCGACTGCCATGGAAGATAGCTCAGTTTCACATCAGAACGGGCAGCTGGGAATGCAAGGAGGCCCTATAGTTAACAACAAACAAACAGACGAAACGAATCAGCCTTCGCAATATTCAATTCCCGGCATTTTACATTTCATACAACATGAATGGGCTCGTTTTGAACTGGAGAGATCTCAATGGGATGTGGATCGAGCTGAACTTCAGGTACTGTCATCGCATACTGTAGCATTTTTCATTTTTTGACGTTTCGTATGATTTAATTCATAAATGTAATGGATAATTATTTGGTAGCGTAATATTCGGAAATCGTATATAATTGGTAGTTTAAATTCATTGACCTTTGACAAAAGCCCATGAAGCGTTGACATTGTCAGTCGATCGGGTGTTTTGGCACATGTAATGATTTACATTTACACACATTGTTTGTTAGTCGAACATATGGTTTAAACATGCAATTATGAGATAATTCTTACGATAAAACCTATCTAAAACAGTTGATTTTACATAGGTAATAAATTTTATATTACGCGATGTAAAATAAAATGTTAGGGCACGACACATTCTTTTTACATAAGCCTCTGATTCATGGCAATTGTAACGTAATAAACAACAATATTTACATGATTTAATAAATTAGTAAACTTTCTCTTTCGAATTTAATCTGAAGAGTTGTCAGAAGCATTGCATGTGTGTATCATCTGCTTTATAAAATGACATTTCTTTATTATATATATATATATATATATATATAATATATATACATATGTATATTCATGTATATGTATGTTTATGTATGTACATACATATATAATTAAATTAAGTTTGTTATTCCGCAAACATTCTCCAAACTAGGGCGTGAAATTACAATAACCCAAGAAGCAATGTGACAAATGCCCGTTATTTAATTCTACATATGTCTATCTGTTCAAAGTGTGTTCATTTTGCAGTATTTGCAAAACATACAATTATAAATATATTTATATTTGAATATAGATATCAAAATATATGCTTACGCCTAAATATAGATATCAAAATATATGCTTACACAATTTTAATATAGAAAATGAGTCTATTCAATAATAACATAATCAATTTTCGTTCACATTCAAAATTAACGTTTTGAACAAATCTTAACATATTAAAGTTTTCTGTTTGCTAAAGATTTATTACAAGTTCCAGTTTATATGTATAAATCAGAAAAATCGATTTTGCGTACACTGCTGCTTGACAT